CACTCGATCATGTCCCTCTCCATTCCCACCGAAACAGGCCGCCCCATTTGATGCCTCCCACTTTGGAGGGTCATTCTCAATGCCCTCATCTTTAAAGGCCCCTGCCCATTAGATGGCGCTACCTTAGGTGCCTTTGTACACCGTTTGCTCAAGCCATCTGTAGCATCTTCCCCGACCTTGTCTCCATCCCCACCTGTCCCTTCAATCCCATGTCGTTTTACACCTTTATCATCTGCACTTAAAATATCCTCTTGCTGTTTCTCTCCCTCCCGGCCCTGAAGATTTTGATAATTCTTCAAGGAGCGGGGGTCACGGTGTCCTGTACGCATGGCAATAGAAGAGTCTTAATGGCCAGACTCTACCAAAAGCGTTGTTACAGTACCCCTCAGACCATGTGTTGTCATACCATGCTTCACGCCTGTACCAGAAATTCCTAGTGATGCGCACACAGTTTTAACAATCTTAGAAAAATTATTTCTGCCAAGGTGCTGCTTCTTGAAGTAGCTAGACAACCTAGTTCCCTTCGCATTGTACCCCAGAAAAAATCAATCGCTCTCCAAGCTCATATCTTCACGAATCTTTAAATAGTCGTCTATGTCCCGATAGACATTAAGAAGGCCTCCAAGGGAGGAACGATTCCATACTGTAACCTCTAATGGTTTCACACTGGCATCCTTCCACCCTCCTGCCCGAGTCTTTGAGGCCCCGGAGCGACTCCCGACGGCCTCTCGAATACGCCAAACATTCTCGCCGCGAAGAGTAATATTCCGAAACTGAGATACGGTCAAATTAACCAAAGCGGTAGGGCGCATCGCCGTGATAAGGGCGACATCAAAAATCAGTCGCGCTTGAAATGATTTCGGTGTGTCACGAGAAAGCAGTGGTGAGCCATACAGTAGCAGCAAATCTTCCTTCGATAGAACATTGTGGCTTTCAGTGAACACACCATTGGCCTGCTGCAGGCTGAACTTGTTATCAATAACTGCCGTAAGACCCTCCTGTGGGCTGTTGAAAACAGGCCCCTCCAAAATTTTGAGCTTGTATCCCCAAATAGCACTAAATCCTCGCTGTATTCCGAGAAGATAGCTTTTCATAGAAGAAGGTTTGACTTCGCTATTTGTCTTTGCCGTGCGGTAGTTCACAACAAACTCGATTAAGAAATATCGAATACGCTCCAACTGGGCGGAAGTCCAACTTGAAAAGCCAGGGGGCAGAAAGGTACGCCCTTCCTCATCCGGAAATACGTTGCATCTTGTTTGTTCCATCTGCCACTCAACCAAACCATCCGGTTCACTGAACACCAACGAGCGCATGTGGGGCTCTGCGTGAAAAAAGTCATCCACGAAACCAGGAACACCCGTCACGAACCTGGCGAATGCTCTGAGAGAAGACTGATTTTGGCGTTTTGTGTTCGTGGGGACTCTTATCCGCATGAACGCCGCTGCTTCTGGAGACGGCGAAAGGGATGAGCGCGGGTTCTGCGACCCGAGGGCAGGGACAGGTTGATTACACTGCGTTGGGGGTGATTCGGGAATAATCGTGTTTTTCTCGATAGGGAAGAGAGGTTGCAGAGTGTGAGGCGGCGGTGTGCCCGAAACCGAGGATGGTCCCATTGTGCAGGGGTGTGTGACTAATTCGCGAACGCATAGAATTGGTAGTGCAGTAGAGTGTGGGGACGGCGATGACGGCGACGGCGGCGCCGGCGACGGAGGGGGAATGAAACGTATTGATTCAATGAGTTTTGCAATCAAAACCATGGCCCAGCAGATGTATTTTAATTCTGGATTTCAATATGATGAGGAGATATACGTATTAAATGCCAGGTCCGGATGATAAATACGTTATCACCCGGCTACGTTGGTGTGATAACTGCTCTCGAGCTATGATATTGAGCACTCGGCTACGCCTCGTGCTCATATCATAGCTCTCGAGCGTTATCACACCTCGTAGCCGGGTGATAACTCCTATGTATCACCTCGCCTGTAGTATCGTCCACACCCTACCACTGCATTTCCAGTTACGATATCATGTCTCAGAATCTTACAACTGTACAAACGACCGGCACAGTACCTCCAACTTTGGCTTATGGCGACGGCGGCTGAGTTGTTCTCCGCAGTTCCACGTCATTGCCTCAACATAACAAAAAATGAGTTAATGCTGCGTTTAGTGGGGCGATCGTGGTCTTTTTTGTGGCAAAAAGGGGGTGAAATGGCTTTTCTTGTAGTGTTGAGGGGGTGAATTGCGCGAATTTGTTGCATAAGTGGGGCGAAGGGAAGAATATCAGTAGTATGTTAGACCCGACCACTGAAATGTCGCCTTTGGTCACCCGTCCCAAACAACACAATTGGGATTCTTCGCCCGTGTAGTAATCCAAAATGGCAAGTAATCGAGCTATTAAACTCAACATTCTAGAACACGGATACTGTACGGACAATTAATCTCGTGATCGGCCACGCCGGTGTGGCCCCCTTATAGACTGTTTCAACCTCCACAATACGCCACAGCATCACGTTTGTTACGTTACTCCGTGTCCACCGGAGGGGGAGTAAAATGTACAAATGCGCTGCACAAAGCGGCAGGAGCAAGTTTTCAAAATGTTATTGCCCCAGACCATGGCGCAGGGTATCCGTCACCTTGCCACTGTGGAAGAAGGTGTGACACCCCTCATGGACGTTTTTTGCGTATCTGCTCGCAACGCAACATTGCGTGAAATGAAGAAACAGTACAAGCGTCTTGCCGTTCTCGTCCACCCCGACAAAGTGCGGGTAGTTCAACCGCACTGTGCGGAAAGGTGTATGAAAGTACTTACGCGTGCCATGCAGCAGGCGGAGAGCTAAGTTCGGTACATAGAAATCGATGAGGGTATTCAGTGTGGTAAGGTCGTGTTACTGCCGGCATTCATTGCGTTTAGCAAAACCTCTTCCGAAAGAGAGCTCTCTCTCGACAAAATGGAACGCGCTGCGCAAGAGAAACAAGACAATGTCAGGGAGACTCAACGCCAAAGAGAATGCTCGAACAATGAAGAGCACGAGAAGGCTTTGAAGGGCGCGTCAAACGTTTGCAGTGACAGCGAGGAAGACGCTGTACGGGAGAGGCAGGCGAGAGCCTGGAACCAATTGCAAAAAGAGAGAGAAGAGGCAGCTAGGGCCGCCCAACTGCAAAAGGAGAGGGAAAAAAGAGCAAGGGCTGCGCAGCTGCAGAAGGAAAGGGACAGAGAGAAAGGGAGAGAACGGAGAGAGAAATGGCTTCTCACTTGCGGGCGGTGCTTGAAAACGATGGTACTGACAAGGATGGAGAGGATGAAGATAGTATGTCCAACGGTGAACGTAACGATGATGTGGACGAGGTAGAGAAATATATAACTCCACCACCATCCCGTCGTCTTTCCTGCCGATTTCGCGGCACAGCAAACGATCCTTCTCGCGAGAGCAGGGCGGACAAAATGGACGAGGAAAAATCAGCAAGGATGGCGAAAATTCAGGGGTGTTCGCAGACGTGGAGAGAATGGAAGAATGCATCGACGGAGTACAATTTGAAGATGGAGGAGATGATCTTGGGAGTGAGGCAGGAAGGAATTTAGAGGAAGACAGAGAGGTGGCCGGGTGCTTGGAAATTGATTCCGAAGAAGACGTTACGTCAGACAAGGACTTGCGGTAGGGGAGGATGCGGCGATAACACAACAGGGCATACCGTCGGAAGGGGTAAGTTGGAAGGGGTTGGGAATACGGTTGAGGATGGTCGTGGGGATGGTTTCGGTAAAGGAGAGAGCGGGGGAGTGTCGTCTAGGATGATGGCCCTGCTGCGAAGAAGAAGTGTGTGTACTCCTGTACTTTGTGTCGGATGGCAGATCACACAGTGACGGACTGCTCTCTGAAACAGCTGTATGGGGATACTGCAGAGTAGCCCAGTAGCCGCTCTTTTAGTAACGCCTTAGTATCTGATTTCGCCTGTCATTTAGTACAATTTATAGCACCGTCCACTTTGTTCAGATTCTGTCGACCCTCACGAACAACCAAATTCTTTTCTGTCACCCCCATGTTGGAGACGTCACCCATACGATCCCTACAAATATTTCTCAATCGGATGGGTGCTTCAGCAAATTTGACCACGTCACCCCGTCAACACTACAAGAAAAGCCATTTCATCCCCTTTTTGCCACAAAAAAGACCACGATCGCCCCACTAAACGCAAAATCTCCCCAAAAAAATAGCTTTTTCGAGAGTATTTGCTACATCGCACTATCGGATATATCGCACTTTGAAGCGTTGTGACACTGGGGTTCGATACAGGGGGGGGGGGGGTCGCTCAATAGTGCCTACTTTAGTAGTGCTTCCCTCTATATAGTGCTATGGCTCACCCTCTGGCACAGGTTATCATACGCTCACACGTGTATCATCCGGCATGGTTCAGTACTCAAAGGATGAAGTTATTTAGTTGTGTTATACAGGCTTTGTTGTGTTTGTGTTAGCAGTGTGCTTTGTCCCCAAATATATGTATTTGAGCCTCCTTTCTATAGTGCCACCCCCCCAATAGTGCCATAGCTAGAGGTATGTCACGCTATAGCACTATATCGTAGGAGGCACTGTATATAGAAGGTACCACTGTACTTGGTTGGGTCTACAGTCTCTGTACTCTGTACAGTAGTACTGTACGCTGTCCGGTGTATCATACTCAGGGCCGTTCCTAACCGAGAGTTCGGTGTGCTAGCACGCAAGGACCCTGACATTTGGCATGAATGGATTGGTTGAACGGGAGTAAAAGCATTTCCAATGATTTTTCAACCAATAAATTCATGCCAAGTTTCAGGGTGCTCGGGTGCTGGCACGGCGAACTCTTCGTTAGGGGCGGCCCTCAGGCCTCGATCCACTCGTCAGGACTTACGTCCGCGTCGCCCGTAGCCGTCGTTGCATCGTCACCCGTTTGGGTCTTGAATGTCTTAACGCCTCATCCCCCCACACTTCCCCTCTCCCCCATCGCCGACTTGCCGCACACGACCCACCATGGCCGCGCCAGTCGAAAAAGAAGAAGCGGTGCTTCGCGCCGTCGAGGAGCTTGCCGTTGCCGACGACTATCTCGATTCCTCGAACCTCTCCTCCAAGCTCTCCGTGGCGCACGCCACGCTGGTCGACGGCGTGCTCAAGTCGCTGTTGGCACGCGCGGCCATCCGCCTGGAGACCGTCACGCACGAGCGCTGGCAAGTCGCGGCCGAGGGCCTGAGCTACGCCGACGCCGGCTCGCCCGAGCAGCGCCTGCACAGCTTTGTGGTGACCTGCGTCGAGGAAGGGAGCGCCGCCACTTTTGAAAAGGTTGACCAAGCCCTTGGGAAGCAGGTCGCGGCGCGCGGGAGGCAGCAGGCCCTGAAGAAGCGCTGGGTCGCCATCCAGAAGGCCGACAAGGTCTTCGTCCCGGTCGAGGGCGCCGACGTCGTCGATGACGTCGCCGAAGCCTTGAGGACCCTCAGGGATCAGGGCGGCAATCCGGAAGGTCTGCAGAGTGACATTTTGAAGCAGCTCAAGTCTAGGAAGCTCGCAGCGCTCAAGCCGTACAAGACGTACAAGATCTTCAAGGGCGAGCGCCTGGCCGATGCGAGGAGGGTCCAGGCCACTGAACTCACGCGCACAATGCTGGAGACTGATGAATGGAAGGATATCAGCTTCAAGGGGTATAACTTCAAGGCAGAGGGAAAGCCCACGAACGGTGGCTGCTTGCATACGCTGCTCAAGGTCCGCGAGCAGTTCCGCTTAATATTCCTCGAGATGGGTTTTGAGGAAATGCCCACTAACAATTACGTAGAGAGCTCGTTCTGGAATTTTGACGCTCTGTTCCAGCCGCAACAGCATCCCGCCCGTGACGAGCATGACACATTTTTCTTGAGCGATCCGGAGCTTGCCAATGTGCTGGATCGGGACTATTTGGAGCGCGTGCGAAGGACGCATGAAGAGGGCGGCTTCGGTTCGCGCGGATATCGGTACGAATGGTCCGAGCAGGAGGCCAGGAAGAACATCTTGCGCACTCACACAACGGCAGTATCAAGTAGGATGTTGTATCTACTAGCACAGGAGACGGAGTTCAAGCCGAGAAAGTATTTTTCGATCGATAGGGTGTTCAGGAATGAGACGCTGGACGCGACGCACTTGGCCGAGTTTCATCAGATCGAGGGGCTGGTAGCCGATCGCAACCTGTCGCTGGGCGATTTGAAGGGGATCATTCACGAGTTCTTCAAGAAGATGGGCATGAGCAGGCTGCGCTTCAAGCCAACGCACAACCCGTACACGACGCCGTCGTTGGAGATTCACTCGTACCATGAGGGGTTGGGTAAGTGGGTGGAAGTGGGGAACTCGGGCGTTTTTAGACCGGAAATGATCCGGCCGATGGGCATTCCGGAGGACGTGACTGTTATTGCGTGGGGGCTGAGCTTGGAACGGCCGACAATGATTCGGTATGGAATCGATAATATTAGAGACCTCTTCGGACATCGCGTCGACCTGAAGGCCATACAGACAAACCCTCTGTGCCGTCTAACTTTCTAGAAATATAAGGTACTGGTTACCAACCTCGCCTCGCGCCACTTTAGTGCTGTACTAAAGTAGTGTACAGCAGCAATTTTCTTTTATGGTTTATCTTTATCCGTCAGTACGGAATAGGAGTCAATGCATGCTCAACGCATTTTTGCGCCAAGTGGACCGATTTGATTGGCTGCACTTGTTTTACCACATGAGACAACCGTGGGCCGCAGTTGATCTCCGCGTCCATTCTTTCACACAGGTTCGGGCTCAATCACACTCATCGGCAGTCGCCTCTACCACATCGGCTTATCATGTGGACAAACCAAGCCCTCCGTCTAACCACCCGCCCCTTTCGCCTCTGCCTTTCCTCCCCCTCACTCCGCCGCACCATGGCTCCTCCGTCCTGCTTCCTCTCCCCCTTCCCAATCCCCGCTCTCCGCCCCTCTCCCACCCTGCGCCACTCAACATGCATGTCCGTCACAGCCGGCCAACCCGGCACTCCAGCCGCTGCACCCGCCAACACCATACCCCGTGCGAAGATTGCAAATCCCGACAAGCGCAACAAGCAGAAGCAAAACCAGAACCAGAAGCCTTCCACTGCCGCAGAGTTGCGCGCCGCCCGTCTGGAGAAAGTCGCTGCCATGCGCGCCGCGGGCGTCGAGCCGTACGCCTACACCTTCAACGCAACGGACACAGCATCTGCTTTGCAGGATCGCTACAAAGACCTTGTCGACGGCGAGGAGGCTGAGGACGGCTGCGAGATTGCCATCGCTGGCCGAATCATGATCCGTCGCGTGTTTGGAAAGCTCGCCTTCTTCACACTCCAGGACAAGTCAGGGACCATCCAGCTGTATCTCGACAAGAAGTACCTTGATTCGAGCATGGGCGCTGGTAGCTTTGCCAACATCAAGGCGTGGACGGATGGCAGCGATATTATCGGCGTGCGCGGGGTGGCGAAGCGCACGGAGAAGGGCGAGCTTAGCGTCAAGGTTTCGCATTGGGAGATGCTCACCAAGAGCCTCACCCCGCTTCCGGACAAGTTTCACGGCTTTACGGATGTGGAGAAACGGTACCGAGCCAGACATGTTGACCTTATAGTCAACCCAGACGTCCGCGAGACGTTTCGGAAGCGCGCTAAGATTACGTCCGCAATTAGAAGGTTTTTGGATAATATCGGCTTTTTGGAAATGGAGACGCCGGCCTTGCACAGAGAACCTGGTGGGGCGGAAGCGAAGCCGTTCACGACGTTTCATAATGCCCTCGATCAGGAGCTTACTTTGCGCATTGCCACGGAGCTCCATTTGAAGCGGCTTGTTGTCGGTGGTTTTGATAAGGTGTATGAACTGGGGCGACTGTATCGGAACGAGGGGGTCAGCTCAAGGCATAACCCTGAGTTCACAAGCATTGAGATTTATGAGGCTTATACAGACTACTTTCGCACAATGCAGCTCACAGAGGAGCTTATTTCGTCGGTAGCGCAACAGGTGCTCGACACGACGACCGTGGAATACCAAGGAAACCAGATTGATTTGTCTACGCCGTGGCGTCGGGTGACAATGCATGACATTGTCAAAGAGGCGACTGGTACAGATTTTTCGGTCATAACCGATGTCGAGGAGGCTAAAGACATGGCAAGAAATTCATCCGTGAGTCAGGACGCTCTGAACAAAGCTCAGAGCGTTGGCGAGGTTTTGAACGTTTGTTTTGAGGAGCTCTGCGAAGAGACACTGATACAACCAACATTTGTGGTGGATTATCCCGTCGAGATCAGTCCGCTAGCCAAACCGCACCGATCACGGCCAGGGCTAGTGGAGCGGTTTGAGATGTTCTGTATGGGACAAGAACTTGCCAACTCGTACTCAGAACTGACGGATCCCGTCGAGCAAAGACGGCGCTTGGAACAGCAGGCGGAGAAGAAGAATGCGGGAGACGAAGAGGCGTGTGGCGTAGACGAAGACTTCTTGACGGCCTTGGAGCAAGGCCTGCCGCCGACAGGTGGGACAGGTATCGGAATTGATCGACTTGTCATGCTGCTGACGAACTCGGCGAGTATTCGCGATGTCATCGCGTTTCCGGCGATGTCCACGCAGCAGAACGCAAACCCAGATGTTAATGTGGGAGATGAGCAGATGTCGTAGAAGTCGAGGCGCTTCTTTTTTGTTTGAGTAGTCAACAACTTGGAGGAAGAACGTATTGAATCCGTCACCACGAAGAACAGTGTTTGATACCCGTTTCAAATTAATTCTTCTTGTCACCCGTTTCAGAAGTTTTGCAACCGCGAGTTTTGCACTCCGTGGAGTGCTACTACTCTATGAACTCACGTGTTTAAAGCGGGTGGGAATTTGAGTGCGTGAGTTTGTGATCGCGAGGGGAATGGTATTGCACTAATACAGGTTGTAAATGATACAGTGCCTCCTACGATATAGTGCTATAGCGTGACATACCTCTAGCTATGGCACTATTGGGGGGGTGGCACTATAGAAAGGAGGCTCAAATACATATATTTGGGGACAAAGCACACTGCTAACACAAACACAACAAAGCCTGTATAACACAACTAAATAACTTCATCCTTTGAGTACTGAACCATGCCGGATGATACACGTGTGAGCGTATGATAACCTGTGCCAGAGGGTGAGCCATAGCACTATATAGAGGGAAGCACTACTAAAGTAGGCACTATTGAGCGACCCCCCCTGTAGTGCCTTTCCTTTTGTGATATGATTCCTCGAATGCCTTTATATTCGCCCTGAGGGAGTGCCCATTTTCCATCTGCTTCTCCTGGGCACCGTATGTGATCCAGAGTGTTTCGATTCAGCCTGTGGTCCACCAGGCTGCCGTTTCACGTGTTTTCGGAGTTGCACAATTCTCAGTGGGTATCCACGAAAATGCTTTTTATCATCAAGCTGTAGCGTGCTCATCCAGAAAGCCCTTCCTGCCAATGATCTATTCGTCTTCGCCAACCATTCTCATCAGCACCTGTTGTATAAATATGAATTGGACAAGTACGTGCCTTTCCCGCCTGGGTTTAGCGATTCATAGAATGTTCTCTTCCACTGCTGCTGGAGTGAGTTTCCAGTATGCTCTTCCCAGCAAGAACTTCTTTCCAATCGATTATACTCGGCTCTAACTTCGGCCGGAAAGTTTTACATAAAACAAGTGCAGCTGTTCTATATATTATGGTGGAGCCCTAAAGTTTTGGCCGGTTCATTATCCTGAATTTCCGACTTGAGGAATTGAGGAAAACCCTGAGTAAGCAGTAAGAAGATTTAAGGCGTCAAAAAGCATACTGTTCTTTTCAGGCGTGCCATCGTACGGTATTCATCCTTTCCGTTTTTCTATGGAAACGCTCTCTCTAGGTTGCTGTTTACTTTTGCTGGAAGCACCCGAGAAGACGGCGCCAGCTTGGATGCATCTACTGTAGTACATAGCAGGCTTTGATAGACGAGGGCTGAAGCAGATGAGTATTTTGACTTCTTAACAAAGCGGGAATGAGGTAAAACACGTTGTGTACCGTTAAACGGTACCCCCGGATTATGGACACATATGTGAAAATTACCATCTTTTCCAATTTTCAACCCTAAAGGGCAGCTGGGCTCTTGATACTGTACTGTTACGGCTCGTCCTGAGACACACTGATTGCCGAGAAAATCCTTTACTGTACCTCCTTTCGGCGGGAGGACAGGCGTCAAGAACACAAGAGTCCATTTGATGTCCCTGTCGAGAAATCCACTCGATGCCTGCCTCCCCCTTTTTCTCCGTACCCAACTACCGCTTATGTACTCACCGCTGCTCGCGATAAACTACCACTACCCCCGATCGCAACCCTTGCACGTAGCCCGCCAGTCTTCTCTTGGCCCACGCTTGCGCCCAGTCCTCCGCTTGCGGTTCACGATCTCCTTGCCCGCCTTTCCTCTGGCCCGCTCCTGCGCCCGCAGTCCTCCGCTTGCGGTTCGCGCTCCACCCTCCCGCGCACGCCGTCGTCCAAGCGCAATGACGCGCGCTTCGCTTCGTCCGTCCTCGAAGCGCAAATCCCGCGCGCCTCCAGTCCTGCGCAGTGTACATTCCCGGGCACTGGGCTTACAGCATTCCTAACAGTACAGCAGGAAGGGAAATAGAGTAACTCCGGTTTCGTCATGTTTTTCAGCTGTTGCTCCGCTCTAAAAATTAAACTTGCTGTCCTCAGGGCAATTGCTCTTGTTTTGGTTGATCTCAACAAGATCTCGTTCACACGAGCACCTTGGTCAAATGCGCAGAGCAACAGCTCCTCTGTCGTGGTCTCGCCAGCTTGTTCCTACACATACCATGTCTCGCAGTATGCCAGCCTTCCAGTCCATCTTCACCCCGATCGCCCTGCCTCTGCGCTATCCATCCTTGGGTTTGTGTCGCTTTCGCCGTCCGGGGAGGTCTTCGGTCACAGTCGCGACTTCTGCGAAACCTAAAGTTGCATCTGATTCCAAATCTCAGTCTAAAGAAAGAAAACAAACAGATCAACTGCAAGGCATAACACCCCGCGCAGAAGACTATTCACAATGGTATCTTGATGTCATTTCATCTGCGGAACTTGCAGAGCCCGCCCCCGTCAGAGGATGTATGGTTATTAGACCGCATGGATTCGCAATATGGGAATTCCTTCGCGACGAATTAGATAGTCGAATCAAGAAGTCGGGAGCTCGCAACGCATATTTCCCTCTCCTCATCCCTCAATCTTTCCTCTCCAAAGAAGCAGCTCACGTCGACGGATTTTCGAAGGAATGTGCCGTCGTCACGCATCATCGTCTTCGTGCGGTACCGGGTGCACCTCCAGGAAACTTAGAGCCGGATCCTGATGCGAAACTTGAAGAGCCTTTGATCGTACGTCCGACGAGCGAGACAATTATCTGGCACATGTTTGGAAGGTGGATCCAAAGTTACAGAGATCTCCCACTTGCACTCAACCAGTGGGCAAACGTTGTTCGCTGGGAAATGCGCACTCGTCCATTTCTGCGAACATCAGAATTTCTTTGGCAAGAAGGCCACACTGCGCATGCTACCGCCGAAGAAGCCGACGCAAAAGCAAAGGAGATGATCCATCTGTATGCAGATGTCACGCGACAGATGCTCGCCATCCCCGTCGTCATGGGCGTCAAGTCCCCGAGTGAGCGCTTTGCCGGAGCCGAGGATACGTACACAATTGAGGGTCTGATGCAAAATGGGTGGGCGCTTCAGGCGGCCACCTCGCATTTCTTGGGACAGAACTTTGCAAAGGCTTTTGATGTCACATACAAGTCCTCGGATGGTGACGAAGAGCATGTATGGGCGACTAGTTGGGGAATTACCACACGCATGATTGGTGCGTTGATCATGACACATTCTGACGACACGGGGCTCGTGTTACCACCAGCAGTTGCCCCTGTACAAGTTGCTCTAGTGCTGATATTTAAATCAGAAGAGCAAAGGAAAGCAGTTGTGCAGTTTGCTGATGCTGCCTTCTCTCGCTTGAAAGCCCGTGGCCTCAGGGTTGCTGTTGACGACAGGCCAAATATGAGGCCTGGCGCAAAGTATTATGAATGGGAGAGGAAAGGAGTCCCACTGCGCATGGAAATAGGTCCCCGGGACGCAGCGAAAAATGCTGTGTTTGCTGCAAAACGCATAGGGGGCGCAAAGCAATCGATACCTGTTGACGAGGATTTTGAAGCTGTGACATGCTCACTTCTTGAGGAGATTCAGCAAGAGATGCTACAGAGGGCTGAGGAAAGGTTGAAATCTCGTACGAGAAGGGTTGCCTCATACGCGGAAATGAAAGATCTCGTGGCAGCGGGGGGTGAAGATAGTGGGATGTTCCTTGTGCCTTGGAAGTGCGACTCCGGAAACGAAAGGAAAGTTCGGGAAGAGACGAAGGCGACCCTTCGCTGTTATCCACTAGAAGGACAAGAAGAGTGTATCGGGAAGGACTGTATTTATTCGGGTGATCCAGCGACTCACATGGCCGTATTCGCCCGTAACTACTAAACCAGGTCGCTTGGACGGCTTAGACCGACGAGATCTCCGAAAAATGTCACTAGAATGCGAATTGAGCCGTGAGTCTCATGAAACCAAGAACATGGGACACAGCCATGAGCGCTTTGCCCCTAGACTGCGAGTCGTATGGGATTACATATCCTCCTGTCTTTTGAGCTGTTCCAGCAAACTTTCGTGTTGGCGTCTGATGTCCATCATGTTTGCTAGAGCTCGTTCTGCAACGCCCATGCTAAGTCCTCGTAGGAATGGGCTTTGCATCTGCGCGGATGACCTTCGCTTGGCAACAGAGTCAGGTGTGCCCGTCATGAAACCAGATTCGGTGCCCTCAGCCACGGGAAGCACCGACGGTGATTGAAATCCTCCAACACTTCCATTGAAAGTTAACTTCCTCTGAAGCTGTGCAACCTTGTCCTTTTGGACATTCAGTTCTGCCTCGAGAATGGCCATCTGCCGTCGTGCCTCTTCTGCCTCTGCCTTGGAGCTCTCCGCTTCGCGTAGCAATGCCTGCTGCCTAGTTGCCATCCTTGCCTCATTTGCACGTGCCTTAATCAACTCATGTCTCTCATTTTCAAGCACCTGTAGCTTCGTTTCCAAGGTTTCATTCAAAGTCTTGAAGAGAACTTCAGCATGTAGATCTAATGGCAGTGGGGCATTGTCTGGAGGACGCTCCCTCGCGTCATTCGTTTCTTTAGCAACGATAGCGAGTAGTTCCTTATATTCAGAAACGCGGAGCTCGGCATCTTTTGCGACTTTGCTATGCATTTCTACGAGTTTCAGGCCATTTTCAATCTCGGTTTGATGCTCCGACTTTTCATTTTCAAAGCTTGATTTCAAGTCAATGATGTGCTTCTCCATAGCCGACAAGGATGCCGTTAGCTTCTCGACTTGGGTCTTCGAGACGGCCAAGTTCTTGGATAATTCTGTGTTCATTCTGTTAGCACTAGATATTTCCGCGTTATGAGACACACTCATGCTGTCCATTTGCGTTCTTGTTTGCGCAAGTTGGGTGCTGATGCGTTTGACTTCCGACTTTAAGAATATATTGCCCTCCTGGTACTGAGTTACCTTGTAGTCGGCATCCTTTGCCTCCTGCATCAATTGCATATTCCGAGTGTGTTTCTCTACAGAATCCGAAGCTGTACGCTCTCTGCTGTCCCGTAGTTGGGTAATCTCTTCTTGAAGTTGCTGTAATAGTATGGCATCACCCGCCGCGGCTTCGCGGGCAGAGCACAATGCCTTGTCAGTTGAATCCTTTTCCGTCGCAAGACTTTTGACCGTAGCTTGGGCAATCGTTAGATCGCCGCCCAGTTTTGTTATTTGGGATCCGTATCGTTCCTGTGTTTCCTTCCGCGCTTCTGCCAGCTTCAATTCAAGCCAAGACTGATCTATAGAGGAGTTGCTGGCCTGCTTCAGGTCCTCGCACTCTTTCGATAGCGCATTAACCTGTTGTTGATAGGCCAAACAAACGCTGTCCATTCTCGACTTGTATGCGCGCATGGAGGCATGCTCCTTCTTGATAGTCTTGACAACTTTTGCAAGGGTGTCCCTGTCTGAGTCAGTCAGACTCTCGAACACGTTCAAGTTCATGACGAATGAAATCCTACGGAGACTTTCGTGAAGTTGTCATTGACGAATATTCCTGATCAGTGCCCTTGCAGGCACTCCGTTGCCTCGTGGGGCGATGTCCTTCTCTTAAATTGGTCGTGGAGTGCAGCTCTTGGAGCTGCACGTAAAAAGCGAAGCGCAACACGGATCAAAAAAGGGGAGACGCCCCGAAGATGGACACAGTAGAAGTCGTGGGGGTCTACAGGGATACGGGCCGAAGGCGTGTAAAAAATCGCGATATGAGGAGATGACAAGTGGCTCCGTTGCGCGCGTTGCGCGCCGCAAGAGGGGAGGAATGCGAAAGTGTTTGAATGTACAGTATTGAAAAGGTGTACATTACAGTACTTCAAGCTCTTTTATTTGGGCCATTTGCGGATCTTGGGGTGACAGGTGCGGCTTTTGATGCCCCTGGGGAGGTGAAGTTCTAGCCCTGGGGGTGTTTTGGGGGCGACTACCCAATTGAGGTGGCATTGAAGGGTGACGTTCCTCATTCATCCAATTCCGAGGGTGACGTCGCCCTAAGAAAACGACATGTTGAAACATGCCGATCTTTGTCTGTGTCTATAGGGCGACATTGGATCGTTTTCTGAGATTGATGTGATTTCAGTTGGAAATATAGGGTGACTTCATATGCGAAACACCGGCAACTTCTACCCACTCTATCTACATACAATTACATACAGTATTTTCCATACCACGGAAGCATGTTTACCTAGTGTTTTCATCCCAATAAAGCTGTCTCAGTGCACAATCAGAAACAGTATGCGTCTCAGAACGACAAAGAGAGCAAGTATACTTCCTCTTTGATGGCGGGTTCAGAAGGCAGAACGTACGCCGCGTGACCGCGCGTCACCGTATGCCAGCCACTGTGGTGGGCACTGGGCGGCCTCTATAGCCACACTATATTGTTTCAGTTTTGAGAGCGCTATATCCAGCGCGAAACCGTGCGTTGGCGTGCTTTTATAAGGGTGACATTAAAACAATCATGCGTTTCTCGGGCGACTTTTCTAACATTTAGGTCTCTGCCGAAATGCCACGATGGTATACGTTTTTATGGGGTGACATCCCCGAATATGAGTTTGTCGGAGGTGACTTTAAGATCGTTTTTCTGTCACCCTAGAAAACGTGCATTGTCACCCATCAAAAGGACACCATGGACCAAAATCACCCTACTAGCAAAGCACTTTTTAGTAGTGTCGCCCTATAAAAACCCCCACCGCATTGAAATCGCCCCACGTAGATATCACTTTGGCCGGGTGTCGCCCCAAAATCTACACTTTGACCCCTTTAATTTTCACCGCACTTCCGCCCGCGCTTCTTCTGTATCCCCACCGTCGACACAAAAATAAACGTCACCTCGCCGCGCCTGTCGCGCTCGTCGAATCTCACGCTGCTCGTGTTAATCATCCGCCATGGGCGGGACATCCAGCTCCATCTTCGCCAGCGCCTCCTACACGGCCGCGGCCACCGCCTTCCCCTTCTCCTGCTCCATCGTAGTGTTCCCACTCCGCCTCCTTCCTCTTGATCTCCTGCAACCGCTTCCGCTCTTCCTCCTCGGCCTCGTACTTCAGCTTCCACATGGCCGCCTACGCCTTCCGCACTTGCTCGCTCGCCCGCGCCACCTCTTCCTCCGCCGTCTTCGTCCGACGCCACTCCTGTTCGCGCTTCCACTTTTTCTGCGCGCTCTTCATCGCGTTGCTAGCGTTGTCGTGGTCCATCACCTCCTCCCCCTCGCCCGAGCCGTCCCTACTGCAGCCCCGCGTAGCTTGCGTTCCCGTGGTCCATCACCCCCTCTCCCTCGCCTGAACCGCTCGTGCTACAGCATCGCGTAGCTCGCGTTCCGGTGGTGCATCACTCCCTACCCCTCACCCGAATCCCCTCTACTGCAGCACCGCGTAGCTCGCGTTCCCGTGGCCTATCACCCCCTCGCTCCCGGCCGAACCTCCCGTGCTACAGCACCGCGTAGCTCGCGTTCCCGTAGTCTCACTCCCTCCCCCTCGCCCGAACCGCCCCTACTGCAGCCCCGCGTAGCTCGCGTTCCCGTGGCCTATCACCCCCTCCCTCTCGCCCGAACCGCCCGTGCTACAGCATCGTGTAGCTTGCGTTCCCGTGGTCCATCACCCTCTCCCCCTCACCCGAACCGCTCTTATTGCAGCCGCGCGTACCTCGCGTACTCGTGGTACATCACTTCCTCCCCCTCGCCTAAACCGTCCCTGCTGCAGCATCGCGTAGCTCGAGTTCCCGTAGTCCATCACCCCCTCCTACTCGCCTGAAACCCCCTACCCTTACTGCAGCATCCCGTAGCTCGCGTCCCCGTGGTCCACCAGCTCCTTCTGCTCGCTCGAACCGCCCGCCGCCGCCTTGCGTGACTCGGCTCCTGCGCCGCCAGCCGAACGCGCGCCTGCTGGGCGCGGAGAGCGTAGGCAAGTCCACCACATATTTCGCGGGAAACGAAGGCGCCGCCGTGAGCGACGGTCTATGGGCATGATGTAGCTGTGAAAGGGGTGAAGTGATGGCGGGGTCCGTGTGTGTCGCGTACGGAAAAGGGCGGGGAGGTCAAGAAAGGTGGGCTAGTAAACCCCTATGGTCATGTATGCTCCGCCGTCATCTTGACTACCCGGTCTACGATGACTACATCCAGCCCCTACTCTGCTCTCACTGTCGCCGTCCCATTGATATACGCGGCGACCATGCCGCTATGTGCAAGCACGGCTATGGTACTATGAATCGTCACAACACGGTGCGGAACACTCTGGCACGACATGCTTTCCGCGCCGCAGGACTGAGCTGTGATATGGAAGTCCCTTTTCTCATCCCTGGCACGGCTAACCGCCCCGCCTATCTCCTCGTTCAGCCCACTCCGCCTCCTACGGGAGCTCTGCCAGACCGTCCTACGGCTTACGATGTCACTGTCCGCAGCCCCTACCGCGTGGGGGCCCTCATGCCGGCTGCTCGAGGTATAGCCGGTGCCGCCGAAGTGGCGGATGCTGACAAGCTACGCACGCACGCTCGCATCATCCGCTCCGCTCTACTTGTACAAGCCGACGCCTCGCTCCCTCTTCTGGACTGGCACTTTGTGCCTCTTGCGTTAGACACCCTGGGCGCTCCTAGCGCTCGCTCTACATGTGTCCTCGAGTCCCTCTCCCATCAAATTGCCATTTGCACCGGTACCAACTTTGGTACTGCAAATTCTCGTCTCTCTCAGCGTCTTAGTTATGCCATATGGTCAAGCGTTGCCTCAGCTACCCTCACCCGCATGCCTTATCATGGCGCGGCCTTATCTTGTCCCGCCCAAGTGTGATTCCTTGAAGCCTGCCCTATGATATGGCATCGGCCCCCCTTGATTAGTGAAAATAAAAACACCCATTCTCACTGGGGACGTAGATAGCGCGTCCTAAGTATTAGTCACCCCCTCTTTCATTCCTGCCCCCCCCCAAGCTGCTGCGCCCGCACTCACGTTGAGGTGGCGACCGACGAGCCAGTCAGCGCGGCTGCCTCCCTTATTACAGTGAAACAGAAATCATTTTCATTGGTCAAGAAATCAAATCGGGACTGCAAAAACGGGATGCTGGCCACCAGTCTCAGCCCCACCTGCCGAATCTAAAATATCTACCACCCTCGCACCCTAACCCTGTGCTCCGGTTTGTGACGATTTAGGGCGTCACAAGAAGTGAGACGATTTGTGTGACGATTTGTGAGAGTTTTGCTCTTTTCGCCGCCGTCATCTCATTCGTCTCACTCCATCTTCTTATTCGTCACACATGGTTTGTGAATACTTGTTGAATTGTAGCACTTTTTGAGAACGTTTTGTGATCATCACAAAAATCGTCTCAAACATCACACATTTTCGTGAATCTTTTGTGATGGTTTTGTGAGACGCATCTCAAAACTCTCAAACGTCAACCTTGAAATCAAAACTCTCACACTGACAGTGTGCATTTTGTGATGGCTTTGTGTGAGATGTGTGAGGGCATCACGAAGATCACATATAAAATGCTCTCCATCTCAAAAGGCAAACAAACTGAACAACGTCACACAAAAAAGATATCCCTTTCCAGCCCTCTACGGCTAATTTCCAGAGACACTTCCCCTTCCCTTCGTGTTCGCAACTGCGTAGGTTGAACCGGAATTTACTGCACGAGAAGGTCAGTGGGACCCAAACCTACTGCGCACTCTGTAGTTGGGTCAAAAGAGGGACAAAAGACGGGCGACCCAAGACACTTAGAAAGGGCTCGCGCCAGGTGCAGTGGTGTTCTACATGTAGGCAAGCTATCTGCTGCAGCTGCCGGACGGTCTGGCATTCTCGCCCTACACTGAAGCGACATGGGCCCTCTCCTGTCCATGAGAGGGAGTTTGACTCTGAGCGACGCACTCCTCGACGAATAAGGCAGGCTTCACAAGCCCGAGAGTGAAGGCCGTAAAATGTCTGTAGAACAAGGCTATCAGCTATGCTTTTTAGATGGGTTTGTGATGGTTTGTTGATGTTGGAGATGATTGTGAGACAATGGTGTGAGAGTCACAAAACAATTTGTGTGTGAATCACAAAACAGTCAACAAAAGAGCACTTCGAGATGTTGACGTCACAAAAATAAAGTGAGATTCACAAAAACAAAGCGAGATTCACAAAACTTGTGAGAATTTTGAGACGTTTGTGTGCATTTTGTGAAGTTTATGCCCCGATCACAAAATAGGACCACCCCACACTTTTCGGGAGGACACTACTCGAAAAGTACGGGTCTCCTGGAGACAAAACGTATATCTTCTTAACGACAACACAATTCTGCGTTCAACGAACCTACTCTCGGGACGTAGCGCTCAACAAGACCGAAGCAGGAGGAAAATAACCCGACTGGGGCAAAAAATAGCCGTCACAAAAAAGGAGCACAGGGCTAAGGAAGCAGCATGATAGGCGGTTCAGTGTACCGCTTGGCAACTTCTATTTAACTCCCTGTCCTTCAGAGGTGGACTCCTTCAATGTCTGTCTAGTCAGCTTCATGTCGTCTCTCATTTGCACATCCAAAGGTGCACGTTTGTGGTCCCCGTGAGCAATCCTCTTGCTTGGCAACACGAAGCGAAGGTGACAGAGACGAAAGCGGTGCTGCCGTCTAGGATGAGGAAGGTACGAGGGGATGAAGAAGGGACAAGGGGATGTGGATGGCCGAAGGGATGGGGAAGGTGTAATCTGCACGAAGTTGAACTCGCCGTTGCAATAGTTTGGCGTGGAATTCCTATCAACACAGCGGAGAGATCACGCCAAGTCGCGCGCACATGTTTGCAAGATTGACCTTTAATGAGAATTTTCTGCTAATACCAGTTGAGAATTCCGAACCATGCCCTTTGAGTATGCCCAAATGAATTGCATTCTCTTGATGAATGGGACCCTTGCTCCGTTTTCGGGTTGTGTCGTGTCACGGTGCCTCGAATCAGCCCTGCCGACGATCTCACCCGAACTGAAAGAACTGTGCCATTTTTGTCCGAAAACTGCAGCTGAGATATGTACCATTAGACTACCTCACCGCCCTCCAATACGGTACCGTTCTTCTCTGCAACTTCGGCTGATACAGAACACTCATATCAAGACTATCCAGGGGTATGCGCCACCGGCAAGGGAAGAGCAAGTCTTCGACGCTTTTTCCCATGCCAGCCCTATTCAATGATTGACAACTTGTCATATGGCATGTACTCGAGAGCATGGCCAGGGACACGGAAGCTTCTTTTTGCCATCTCTATCATTCACGGGAAGAAGCTTTCAAGGAGTACCATCCTTATCAGCAGAGTTATACTGTACAGTCTGCACTAAGAACAGTCACATGCTCTCATTATATATCACTGGTCCAAGTAGATTTGTACAAGGTTTCGAGCCACGCAAGCTGTCATTCCCCAGACAGGTGGCAACTGCATGGTTAAGACAGTGCAGGGTTACACCCTGTGTCACTTTGGCTCGAGTGCCTAATTTAACTGTGTGTTGCGTTTTGCGATGCTTCCGTGCTGGTCCTTGACGAGACTATACGGTACAGTTCCCCTCCTTGTTCTACTTTTAACATTGGAAATTTCTTGGTGACCCGTCAGGGAGTCCCAGTCTCCTATGGGAATCAGTGTCTCTTCCGTTGCTGCACTTACTGCTACAGGTTTCTTGGACTCTCCTCCTTCTGAGCCTCTCCCACAATCAGCAGGTTGCAGTCGTTTCGGCAGTTTCCGTTTCGAGGTTTGGGCCTTCATCAGGTCAGTTGTGCCCTGCAGCGTATGAGCCGCCGTTCCGTCGCGGTGACCGGAGCCTTGGAATCCATGCAGGTCTGGTGGTGCTCCTTGCTTTTCCCGCTGATGAATTGGAAGCTCTTGCCTGGAATATGGAACTGTTCCACCTTCTTGCGATGACTCCCCACCGGTATTGCTTCCTTCATGCATGTCCATATTAGAAGCTGCGCAAGAAGAAGAAATACCAGCATTCTTTCTGGTTTCAGGACTTTTGTGTGGTGACCCATCGATCAGTCTTCGTTTTCGGGATGGTCCGCTGACGGACTGCTTCTGTTCTTCCAATTTTCTTTTCCTGATCATCTCGCGGAATTTCTGGAGATGACTAGCCACATTCTCACGAGTCAGTGTTGGTTCGTTTATTGCTTGCAACAAGGTCTTCGGAACAGCAGCCTCAAGTCCGATCTCGTTGACCGCGTCTTCAAACTTCGCATGCAACTCAGGGGTCCACTGCAGCCGCTTCTTTTTCGGAGCGGGTGGTGGGGTGATGTAATGAACCGTTGCTGGCTGGGCATATACATTTTGGAAGCCGACGGCATTGCCATAAATTTTTTTTGTCCCAGGATGTGGCCTTTCAGCGTATTGCGGATATGATGAAGAGGGTGAGAGTTGAGGGATGAGAGTAGTGGGAAGTTGAGGGATGAGAGTAGTAGGAAGTTGAGGGATGAGAGTAGTGGGAAGTTGAGGGATGTGAGTGGCGGGAAGTGTCGGTACCACCACTGGGGTGTTCACATGCTGAAAGCCATGCGCAGGTGTCGGTGAGACCGCTGGCATTGGCGGAAGACTTTGCACGTGAAAGCCTTGTCCAATATTCGGTACGCACTGCTGATATGCGGGGTTTCGCATCGAGTTTTGTATAACTGGAGAGACAAGAGTATGATTTGCGCACGCTCTCACACCGCGCAATACTGGCGATGTCCCTTGTGCAGAAATTTGCGGTGGAGGCATCGCATCATGCGGGGTTACGTGTTGAGTCGTGTTGCCGTGGGTCTGTACGATTGGCTGCACCACTTGTGGGGCAGCTAGACCCGAAAGCGACGTTGACGAAATATCTTCCCTAGGACTTCTTGGAGAATGTCGATTGATCTCACGCCTCGCGAAAACCACGGTTTGCGCTGTGCCAGGGTTGTAGTACGATCTTTGTATGACGCTGCGGCGCGATGCATTTGGATCAGGCGCCTGGTGAACATAGTATGGCCGATCGGGCAACGCAACATACATAGTGGGATTAGTTGGTGGGGTATGTGGATTGTACACCACTGCGTCATGGTGGGCGGGTGCATGGGGTGGTGCTTGTTGCGGTATGGCCGGACCTATTGCACCTTGGGTGGGATGCTTGGCTCCTTCTACTGGGTAATACGTGAAATATGGTTGTGGGACTTGACCTTGCTGTGTTGGGTACTCGTGAGGGTTGGGATGAGCGGGATACCGTGGAGCTTGGAACGGATGAACAATAGCGGGGGGATAATGTGAAGCATAGTGCTGGCTCCGCAGCATATGCTGATGGCGAGTTGGAGGTTCGTACAATGGGCGTTGATGTGTGTTTGCTGATGCGTGGAGGTGAGCGTCATGTCTTGGGGGTAAAGAAGGGTGATAGTGCAGTGGGGCATGAAGGTTGTGGGCATCTGGATGTACGTAAGGTGGGGGGTTAAGAGGAAGCGCAGTGGAGGTACGGGTACTGTGAGTGGGGATGTTAGGATCGGGGCTGTGCTGGGTGCTAGTTTGGTTGGTTGTGATGACACTGCTGGAATGCACGGGAAGGTGCCGAGGACGGCTGCGGGAGGAACTGGCCATTTGTTGCGCCGGCGTTCGTTGAGGCTCATCACGACGTTCATGCTGCATGTCTGTTCCTCTGCCGGCGCTTGAGTCTTCGGCGAGAATGTCAACTCGACGGGTATAGCACAGAGGAAGACAGCAGGCCAAGGGCGTGAAGAGGTGGGTGTGTAACGATATCGTTGAGTCCGCGGGGGGTGTGGGAGGACAGGTCGGTGTGTGAGTATGACAATGGATGCGAGCAGTGACAGCGGCCGGAAGCGCAGAGCGCAGACGGGAAGTTATTGAGAGACAAGGAAGGCGAAGAGGAGTGCAGATGTAATCAAGGGGAATGAGAGGACGGAGCGGGGAGGATTTAACAAATGGGGACGACCCCGGGGGGGGGGAGGGGGGGGCTGGAAGCTGGATGCTGGATGAGATGAGATCTTTAAAAGCGGGGGATGCGAAGCACGACTGACT